TCAAAACCCTCAGGGGTAACCAGGGTAACAGCTATACACCAGCAAGACGAGGGGGACAACCTCACCCCTGCACAGCTGCGCAAAGTGCATCGTGTGTTCTGGTATCGTTGGTTCGGACATAAGCACCTGGCTATGTCCGTGGCGACCTACGGACTATACAACTGGAAGCGCGCTCTCCAACATCTGAGTGACACCCTTCCTGCTTGAGTGACACGTCCGCGGCTCCGCGACGCACTCGCACGCCCGCCGCGGATATATGCGACACTCTGAGTGACACCCTTCCTGCTTGACTCACATCCGCGGATACGTGACGCACCCGCACGTCGGCGGATACGCGACACTCTGGCTTGGCGTCCGCGACGATGCCTGTCTGGCTCTATAGGTCCTCGTTTCACCTCCTACCTCTTCCACACAGCGACGCGAGACAGAAAGGAATCAGAGTTTCTATATCGACGTTGTCCTGCCATCGTGTGTGTGCTCTGTCTGCGGTTCCGCGACACAGTTTCGTCCCGCGCGCCATGCCCAGAAAAAGAGGTGCGCATGCAGGATGCTGGATTTCTATTTGACATTTCCGACCTGCACTTTTACTTTCTCCTTCCTCCTACTCTACATCGTGCTCGCGGGTGCTACTCTCTCTACTTCCACCTCCCCTGCGCGCATCCCTTGACACCAAAGTTCGGTTGATATACACTCTACACTGTTTGGGGTCTCTTGCCGGGATAATGTTAGTGATTACACTGTGACTTTTCCGCCAGTTGTCCACGCAAAGGCCCTACACTTTTGGCCACCCAGAGCGTGACACTGTGCACGATTGAACAAGTAGTAGTGTTCACTGAATCTCTGAATGACAAAGCAAATAGACAAACAACATCTATATAAAGTGGAAGTGTGCCAGCTTGTTTGTCACATCCGCAGGTGTGATGCCTACTATGGACTCGCGGCTCGATGCCTCAATCGTTTTAGAGAGGCTCGCAAAGGCGCGTTTCACACGCAGCAGGTGCAGGCATGGCAGGTATGTTTTCCTCAACCTTGCACGGCTGCTGCCGATTTATTGGCTCGGCCACAACAGCAAGCCAGCAATGTCCCAATGACATATTGCTATACAGACTTGAGCTGCTTTGTCGACAGTGCAGGTTGATTTGACGGACAGTTGTGCGACGAATACGGTACCCGTATCGTGCCAACATGTACAAAAACATATGCAAAAATAGGTGTGAGGGGATTTTGTAAACAGAGAAAGCGTTTCATCATGGCCAACTTTGCAATGCGCATACGGCTGTCAGCCTTGGACTCAGACCAGATTCAAGTTCAGATCAAAGTCAGGCTTCAGGTTTCAGAGGAATGTTTTACTGTTAGAGTTAGACTGCTTTTAGATTGCCCGTCATGGTTTGAGTAGTTATATGTAGTTATTGTGTTGTATGATTGCCTTGTTCGAGTGTTGTTGTATGTTGTTGTGTTTGTGCGTGTGGCCAAATTCGGTGGCCAAATTCAATAAGCATTGCTTGCGGCTCAAGCTCAAAATACAGAAGTTGACGGGCAGCGTCGTGTCAACGCCAGCGTCTCAGATTGAAGTTGCTGGTTAACTGCTTATTGCTTGTAGTCATGCTTATGCGCTTGCTTGTGCTGCTTTTTGTGCTTTGTTTTGTTTTACTTTACGCAAACATCAAACAACCCAAGAATCAGGTAGATGGCCCAGATGGCCACTCAGGCAGGTGTGTATAGGCTGATGGTGGCGTTCACTACATTTTGCCGATCCTGCGAAGGTTGGATCAATGTTGGGGCAAGACCCAAAGGCAGTTCAGGGTTTGGTCTCCGACCTTAAGCAAATTTCTCAGTCATACAGTCAAACATGCGCATATTTGCGATGTTGGTTGCAATTAATGATTGCTGTGAGTTATCTATGTGTTTTTTGTTCTCAACAACTGTCTTGGGTGATTGCCCAAGGATGTTGGCTGCCTATGAGACTGCGGCAGAGTGGAGTGAGACAAAGGCAGCTCGGACAACCCCTTGTTCATGGCTCAAATATTGCTCTCAAACTCCTCAACACATCTAGGTCTACATTGTCTATCATGCGTGCTACTCTATATCTATACAACTCTTTGCTGTTTGGGTCGCAGTTGAACCATCAATATTTTGACTTGCTTGCCATTCACTCAAAGCACTCGATTGTTTCCGAACCAGCTTTGTCAGGCCATGGATGGGGCCTTTGCGGCTTTGTCATGGGACGATTCTGCTGTGAAGGCTTGGCCTAGAATCGTCATTTTGTCTAATGGAATCACATGATGCGCGCTGCCTGTGCAGTGATGTAGACAACGCTAGCCTATGTACAATGAGTGAATACATCATTGCGTAAGAAGATCCATTGAATATCAGTGCAAGCCCCCCTTCAGTCGGAGATCAAAAGACCGAGCCGATGGAGTTTTGAATCTGTCAGTGGTAGTATAATCTGCTGTCACCAATGAGGGGCAACGGAGAAGAGGTGGTGCGGGATGATGTCTACAGACAGAGAAGGGAACTGCGAGAGCCTCGAGGTCTTTAGTGGAGAGGATGCAAGTGAATGGCCAACTGTACTTGATGGCTCTTCCCACGAATGTGCCTGAGACGAAGTGGGGAGCACGCCTTCTGGAACAGTTCAGTGGTGGTGGGCGAGATTACTTGATAGAGACAAACTCGATGAGAAGCACAAAGAGGCCCCCCGAGGAGGAACTACAACGGGGTGAAGGAGAACGAGACCTACAGGAACTTCATGACCAAAAGAAGTGAGACGATGCTCACTGCAAGACAAGGATCAGTTAAGCAATGCTCACATTTGTCAAAACAGTGAGCCATGGGAAAATTCATGCAAGGCAGCCAAGACCAAGGACATCTTTGTGACATAATAATGTCAAGGTGAAGGATGAAAGGACTATGGATAGCGAGAGTAAACCACTATAAAGAGGTCAGGGAGACGCTTGTCAATCAGCTCCAGTAGGCTGAAGTCTATGGGTCCGAAGATGCCGTGGACACTTATGCACGCATGTATGTATGTACGTTATGTTATCTTGTTATGCTATGTTATGTAAAGATGAATGTATGTATGTAATTGCGTGTGATTGTATGCAACTTTATGTAACTGTTTGTAGCTGTATGTAACTGTATGTAATTGTATGTGTAATGTATGCATTGTATAAATAGATATAAATAGAATGTATGTATATGGCTCAAGTTTCGGCTCGAGGCTCGCAGGTTTCCACCCACTCCCACAGAGCACTTCGCGAGATCGAGCACGAAGCCCCTGAAGAGACGGACGGTGGCACGTCCGGGATCTTTGACTTCGACAACCTCATGGATTGGTCGATGCAACGGGCTTACCAATGTTGCCAGAGGTCAGGCTGCTACAACTGGATTTGGTGCGACAAGATCCAGCAGGGCTACACATGCCGGAAGTGTGGGCATGAATGGCCACGACCTCAACATGGCTTTGCCTTGAGGAAGCCACAAGCTAAGGCACCATCCAGATGGCCTAAGGCTCGCAACCAACGCCCTTCTCCACCACCAGGTCTCGGCAGGGTGAGATCACCGAAGCCATCTCAGCTCCAGAAGTCCGCCTCAGAAGCTTTGGCTCCAGCTTGGGACACCTTGGATGACCAACTCAAGAGCAAGCTCACTGAACTGGGCATCTCGCCTGAGATCAAGGCAGCTGAGCCTGATCTGAAGGATGTCCTCAGGGAGAACCTCTCCAAGTTGCCAACCCCGAGTCAGAGCGAGAAGTTGCAGGACGCAAGAAGCAACAGGTCTTTGCTTTGAAGGATCTCTCTCATAAGAAGCATGCCCTTCAGAACAAGACCGACTCCACGAAACGAGCTTTTCAAGAACTCATGGATGAGATGAAGAGCATCCAATCGAGGATCGAGCAAGAGCAGACAACACTCAACCAGACCAGTGCTTCTTACATTGTTACATGGCCATGGTCAATGCTGCTGTCCCTCTGGCTCCGCTTCAGCCTGATGCAATCATGACTGACCCGGTTCCAGAAGCCGTGGCTGGTTTTGTCCGCACTTTGGGTGTCAGTCTCACACCTGAACAGCAGACCCAGCTACAAGTCATGTTAAAGAGGCCGCAGCATGAAATCACTGAAGAGGCCAAACGCCGCAAGACAGATGCTGTTGAACCACCACCGTCGTGTGGGTAACCACGTCACCTCCTCTTGTGGAGGCACTCAAACGAGCTCTTGCAAAAGTATGGGGATCAGCAAATTGACACACCCAGTGCAGGTTGCTGTGGGTTTGACTCAACTTGATTGTGGGGTTCATGACAATCGGGTTGATGCTCATCTCGGCTCAAGTCCGAGACTGGCAAGTTCCAGCAATTTTGAGCCCTGTGGCGCAGGGGACAGAGGCACCGTGTTCTTCTACCTCAGAGCAGGTTCCACGGAACTCTCACGAAAACGGGACCTCTCAAACCCAAGCGCTGGCAAGCGCATACATAACATAGAAATCTTCGATGACGACGAGCCTCGAAATCTCACTGAGGCGCAACTTCATCTTTTTGAGATCAGTCATCAAGATCTCATGAATTCTTGCACGGCTTACTTCTATCAGCCGAACAATGACAGAGGTCAGCAACTTCTCACTGACCTCCAACGGCTTGAACACTTGGTACATCAGCAATTGGGTTTGCAAGGAGATCAACCGCGCATCCAGGGGAACACAGCCTTGATTGCGCAGAATCTGCAACTCCAGCAATCTCTGCTTCACCAATCTGGCCTTTCCCTGTTGGAGCTGGCTCCGCAGCTTCGTCACTGAGCCTTACATGGTATGGGGGAAGCTCCACAAGGCCTTCCGGACCTTCCTGTCCACCTCTCAGTCTACCCTACTGACTGACATTCCTGAACTGGCTGGTGTCTGGTCCCAATTTGATCAGACACAACAAGCTGACGTTGGTGATTTTGCGGGTGGCCCGTGCCAAACCTCAAAGCATTGGCAGCAAGTTCTTTCACATTCGAAGCAATGGCATTCTGGAAGAACGTGGACAGGTTCCCATCTATGTCATCTTCCCTCCTGAAGAACACAAGGCCACGCTTGAGACTCTCATCAATCAATGGTCTGATGATGAACAAGGCCAATTTCTTTATGGAAAACCCGACTGCCTGGTTCTTCATCTTCAGCTCTTCAAACTCCATGAACAACAGTGGACAAAACATCACAGACCCTTGGAAGTGCCCGCAAATGTCATCATCCCTTACCCCAATGATGGGATTGTCGTTGCCAAAGCCCGCTACCGCATTGTGGCTATGGTCCTTCATCAAGGCACCTCTCACGACAATGGTCACCTCGTGGCAGTCCATGCGATTGACAACACTTATTGGTTGGTTGACGACGACCAATTTCCTCAACCGACCCGAGAGTTGACAGATCAGCAGGAACGTGAAGTGCTGCAACTGTGGTTGGCGCATGATCCCACCGATGAAATGGAGGAAGACCACATCTCGGAAGAGCCTCCTCCTCCCACCAAGAAGCAAAAGACTCACTATGAAGACATTCAGATTGCTTCGCCAATGTCACCTCCTTTGGATTGGGTTTGGTCCAAAGCTGATCGCATTTGGTTCCTTCAAGAAACCCACCTCAATGAGAAGAAGATGAACGAAGCTCTCCAGTACTTCATAGTGAGGGGATGGAAAGCTCATGGGGTGGCGGCCGAAGAAACTGGCAAAGGTGGAACCACTGGAGGGTTTTTGCGCCTCCGCCCGCCTCATCATCACATTCCCTCCAGCGCTACACCAAAGAAGGCAATGGGTGGATGGCCATAGGCCTTCGACGATGGGTGGATGGCCATAGGCCTTCGACGAGATGATATGCACACAGCCGTCATTCAGCGGACTGGAGAAATTTTGCAATCAGCCATCAACGCTGAGATCTTGGCCACCCTGTTCAGCTTCCTTGACAACATACAGGCTCCTTTCATCATTGGAGGGGATTGGCAAAATCCACCGTCGGAGTTGGCAGCTGTGGTCATCCAGAGTAAGTTGAAAGCCCGCATCCAGGCCACTGACAGTCCCAGTCATCTGGACTACTTGCTCGTTTCCAATGAGCTTTCTGGGGCCATCAACCTTGAACTCTTGGGACGTCCCTTGGAGACCACATTGTGCTTTGTCGCTCAAATACAACTGCAACCGGCTCAACAACTTCGGACTTTTCCACCCATTGGGAGAGCGCTTCACCCTGAAGTCAGCTGGTCCGACTTTCCGGAGAAGAATGGTCCCTTCTTTATCTTCAACTACCAGATCACAGGGTTGGGCACTGACTTGGCAAGGTGGTGCACCCAGTCAGAGCTCTATTTGACTCAGCAACTTCAGCAGAGGATCTCAAGTTGATCTTTACACGGCCCGTCTTGCTGGTCCACACAAGCACAAATGTGGAAACGAGGCTGCCTTTTGGGAGCGCACGGCGGTACGTATCAATGTCATGCGTCGCAACCCCCAAGAAGGTGTCAAGCGAGACCTTTGGCTTATGACTCAAGCCATCCAAGAACATGGTTCTGATGATTTGGATCAGGATGGATTCATCCAACAACTCGCCACATGGCTTGAACATCCACAAGAAGATCCACAAGCTCTTCAGAATGTTATCATGTCGCAAGAGCATCAAGCCCATGCAGGTTTGGCCTCAGCCAACACGGAGGGCTTGAGGGGTGTCTTTCGAAGCCTTCGTCAGAAAGACATACCCTGGCAGCGGCCATTCCAAGACCTTCCACTTTGGGAAAGACTTCAAGCCCGTCGTGATCAATAGGGCAGCATTTGGCAGCCGGTGGATGAACCTTGTCACATCAGAGGCTTTCGAGAACTCCGAGAGGACGCCATTGACCAGGCACGTACCATGCAGCCCATCAATCCCATCAGCCTCCAGAGAGAGTCATCAAAAGACTGCCTAACAAAGCATCAGGTCCAGATGGCATCTCATACGATTTTTTGAAGCAGTTACCCTTTGAAGCAGTCGCGCAACTTGCCAAACTTCTCAATCAGATGGAGCATGCGTGAGGCGCTGCTTCCCACACAGTTGCGCATGGTCAACATCTTCATGTTTGTGGAAAGGCCTATAGCATTAACCTCATGCCTGTACCGATTGTGGAATCGAGTACGCAAACAAGACATTGTGAAGTGGCAGCTTTCTTTGGATGCCTCGATGCCCTGGGATCATGCTCGACCCAAACGCGATTGTCTCTCCATCGCGGTCGGCAGGATGCTCCACAGCGAACTGTGCAAGCGCAACAACATTCACACTGTCACTTGCTTGGCGGACCTCAGCTGCTTCTATGACACTGTGATCTTGGAACACCTCGTTGCTCCTGCGAGGGAACTGGAATATCCATTGTTGCACCTGAAGCTGGCCATTGACCTCTATTGAGGGCCCCGAGTCATCCAGGCGGAAGGCATTGCCAGTGATCCACAGCACTACCAACGTGGCATTCTGCAAGGCCGTCCTCAAGCTCCGGCGATTAAGCTGGTTCTTTACAAGCCTGTCAAGTGTCAAGGACTTGATGCAAGAGCGCCCGGCAGTTCACCTTCAGACCTGGGTTGATGATGTTTCATATGATGTCAGAGGCGCTGATCCCATTTATGTGGCCACTCAAGCGCTCCAAGCTTACAGAACACTCCAGCATCACCTCACCCAAGCTGGTTTGCGCCTCAACACCGACGAAACGGGCTTCCTCACGAGTTCCAAAGAGGTTGGCACAGCGCTGAAAGGCTTGCTGGGGCCGGGAGACCCTTCCCTGTTTGATGTCTTCAGAGACTTGGGCATTGATGCCACAGCTGCCAAGCGCAGACGGGTCACACAGATCCGTAAGCGGTTCAGCAGCGGTTCAACAAAGGGAGATCCAGATTCACAGGTTGAAGCTCCGTCACACGGCCGCTACAGACTGCACAAAGGAGCAATCCACCCTGTCGTGACTTGGGGAGCTCAGGCTCAAGGCTTGGCGCCACAACGTCGCCATCAACTTCGGGTCATGGCGGGAAGAGGGTTGAAACTGCAAAAGTCTGGCTCAGTGGACGTGGTCTTTGACATGAACAAGCGACATCCTGGCCCAGGTGATTCCATCATCCTGCAACATGTGCACACAGTTTGGAAGATTTACCATAGCTTGACAGCAAACAGCATCTCTTTCGCAGTAGCTGGAACATTGCATTGGGCACCTTGCAGCAGGCCAAATACAAGTGGCAAGTGGCCAAAGGACCTCTTCAAGCGCTCCAAGCTTACCTCTTGGACTATGGCCTTGATCTTCAAGATGGGAGCTGTTGGCACCGTCCAGGATATGCCGTTCCTGACTGCAAACTGTCCTCGGACCTATGCGGCCAGAAGATTCGTGAAGAATTCCGTTGGCAACGTCTCATGCAACTAACAGGTATCAGGGGTGTGAGCATCTGGAACAGCCGTTGGATTGGACAATCAGCTTGAAGCTCCAACAGAACACCAATGAGAGGTTGGCCACCGCTCCTCGTGCATTTCACCAAGGCAAAATGCATGGAGTTGATGGCAACTGTCGTCCCTTGTTGGGCACTGAACTCACCTTTGTTCACTTGCTTTGGGAGTGTTCCTACTGGCATGGAAAGGTCAAGGAGCTGCCATGACAGAATCAGCCAAAACACAGAACCTGAGCTCTGTAACAGAGGATTCTGCCAGGCACCTTTCTTGGAGAAGCGTGGGGGGGAGAGTGAGAGAGTGAGCATCTGAGCACAAAGTACTGCGCCTGCCACGAAATTTGCACTTCGAGGTTTACCAAGCCACGAAATCTGCGCTTCGCTTCGAGGTTCACCATGCGCTGCGCCTGCCACGAAATCTGCACTTCGAGGTTCGCGCTGCGCCTGTCACGAAATCTGCACTTGGAGGCTCACCAAGTGCTGCACCTGTCACGCAATCTGCACTTGGAGGTTGCGCCTGCCACGAAATCTGCACTTCCAGGTCCACCAAGTGCTGCGCCTGCCAAGAAATCTGCGCTTCGAGGTTCAGCAAGTGCTGCGCCTGCCACGAAATCTGCACTTCGAGGTTCACAGAGAGCTGTGCCTGCCACGAAATCTGCGCTTCGAGGTTCACCATGCGCTGCGCCTGCCACGAAATCTGCGCTTCGAGGTTCACAAAGCGCTGCGCCTGCCACGAAATCTGCACTTCGAGGTTCGCGCTGTGCCTGTCACGAAATCTGCACTTGGAGGCTCACCAAGTGCTGCACCTGCCACGCAATCTGCACATGGAGGTTGCGCCTGCCACGAAATCTGCACTTCCAGGCCCACCAAGTGCTGCGCCTGCCACGAAATCTGCGCTTCGAGGTTCAGCAAGCGCTGCTCCTGCCACGAAATCTGCACTTCGAGGTTCACAGAGCGCTGTGGCTGCCACGAAATCTGCAAACGAGCCACATGTCCAAAAGTCACTGCGCCTGCCACGAAAATTGCATTTCGAAGTAAAACAGCTCCGATCCCTTGCACCTGACGAGGTTTCCCTTGCGCCTGCCACGAAAAGTGCACGAAAATGCGCACGGCACCACAACGAGAGCGCAGTCGTCAGAAGCGCCCGCCGCCGGCAGGCAGATTTTGCGAGCCTGCGCAGTCGAAGTGCGCATGGACGATGTCGAGAGGCATGAATGTACTGTAAATAGCAGCGAATTAGCCATTCACGCCCGCGCGCCTCAGCGATCTAAGCATCAGTACCGTAAGAACACCTCAGTGTGCCCACACTGTTTGGGGAACAATATTGAAAAAATGAACAATTTTAACAAACAAATTTCAACACAATTCAACAATCTTCAAAGAGTTTTCACAACAATTGAACAATTTTTGAAACAACTTTCAAAACAATTGACAATTGTTGTTGGTGGTTTGCTGGAGTCCTGGACGCGCAGCCTTTCTAAATCCATCTAAGAGAAAGATCTTTACTACGTTCGAAGCTCAACTGGCAGAAAACAACAACTGGGCGCAGTTCATCAAGGTCGAGAACACGGCGCCACCCATCGGAAACGCCTCATTTGGGAGGTATATGCTGGCGGAGGCTCACAGCTTCTTCAACAACATGGTGACGTGGAAGCGATGCGCTTTGGCCTTGAAGATGGATGGGATTTCAGCCGCGCTGCTCACCGCAAGCAGCTCCTTCGCCTCTGTGATGAACTTGAGCCGGATGAGATCTACATGTCTCCAAAATGTACACTATGGTCTCGCACGCAGCAGATCAATGTCCACAACGAAGCTCAAGCACAAGGAGAAGTTGACCATGAGACACACTTGGCCATGTGCAAGAAGCTGAACTACGCCAAGTATCTTGGTCGACTACCTGGACACCAAGCGATCTTTGACCAATGTGCATATGGAGCTGTGACTGAAGCTGGTGATGGGTCCCTCACGCCCATCAAGAAGACTACAAGGCTGCAGACCGCCAAATGGGCCATGCATCAGCTCATGTCCAAGCGTTGTGGTTGCTCATCGTTGAAGGTCTTCATGAACAGGTCTACGCAGTCCACGATGAGGAGAAAGCCCTCACTGGAGTTCTCCGGAAGCTTGGATCAACACACGGCCACGAAGCAGTCCGCGCAGCATATCGCCTTCATCGCAACAGGGCGTTTTGCCCAATTCTCCTGCGACGGCGAAAGCTCATTCTGACGACAAAAGGATTCTGACGTGTGCTGCGCCATTAGTTTTTCTTGCTGGTAGATGATTGCGCGCAGTGCTTTGGCCACTTGGAGTATAAAGCAACACAGTACTGAAAACCTCAGCGCCGTTGTGTTTTGCACTACCTGATGTGACTTACCGTAAACCCGGCGCTAGTATGGCCTTCCTGGCTTGCAAAGCCCTTGGAAGCACCACGACCTCAATGTGGAAGGTGGCGCCACTCACTTCGTCAGTTCACTATATGGCTGCAGTCCCAAACCAGAGCCATGTCCCATAGGTATGCGGAGGGCGGAGATATGCGCGCCGCGCATCCATGTGAAAGCACGCCGCGGGGCATTAGTGTAGCGTCTGGCAGTTGCCCTTCTGTATCTTTGTTCTCTTCAAGGGCTTGAATTTGGTGAGCCCCAGAGGCGGTTCGAGGGGGCACCATGGTAGCTCTTTCTGTGCCACGTCACACTTGGATTGCGAAGTAGATGTCGACGTGGTTGGCCACGCCCTTTTCCTTTCCCAGCTGGCTTGGTGGGTGCCGCCACTGTCCACATTGTCGACGTCAAGTGCCCCTTTGAGCTTATCAGTCCATATCCAATTGCTACACTTCCGAGAGGAGCACACAGTGTAACCACGGCACCACGTGGTAGAACCTGAGGCAGTCACACTGAAGAGTGACCAGGTCCTCAGTGGTGTAGGCAAGGGCCTTGGCACTGAACACGATCAGGCCACGGGAGGGCTCAAAGGAAAAGCGCCAGCAGTCCAGGAGAAGAAGGCTGTGGCGGTGTTGCCTTGGAAGAATGCAGGGCACACGTGGTGCAATACCACACTAGGTGGACTTTGTGCGGGCTTGCCACCTTGAACAGCTCACAGCCATGTATGTATGTATGTATGTATGTATGTACGTGTGTAGGTAGGTAGGTCGGTATGTATGTATGCATGCATGCATGCATGTATGTGTGTGTATGTATGTATGTATGTATGTATGTATGCATGGTTGAGCGACGAACCCCACGGTTATTTGGAGTGGGCTTGCTAAGTTTAATAGAGGGCTTGCCTCCGGCTTGACGGTTTGACACTTCACTGCTCATGCGCACGCAGGCTGCGATGCCAGAGTATTTGAAGTCCACTGGCGAGGAACGCATGAAGGCCCGTCATTCACTTGACCTGTGGCTTTAGGGAGGGTTTCGTGAATTTCCGCTCTACTGAATCATGCGCGTGGACTTTGCATGTGCCCCCGACCGCTAGAACTGAGCACTTTGGGAGGCTTTGAGACCTGTAAGATTCCATGTTTGGTCGCCACCTTTTTTGGCGCGGCGCACAAATGTGACAACACGGCCAAATACCAATTTCCGTGCAGTGCCAAATTTGAAGCTACAATTTCGAATTCGCAGATGCGTTTCTTCGATAGACTTTCCGAATTTCCGAATCTGTGTTTTAAAAACGGAACAGGTGTTTTACAGCATTATTTGCTCCAGAGTTCGATCAAATTCAATCCAGTCAACAATCAATGCTCCAATTCTTGTCATTACCTGACACAAAACATTAAAACACCATTGCACACCCTCATTGATTTCTACGATGTTCTGTCCCGTTCTGTATTTTTTGTATTACGCAATGTGTTTGGGGTGTTGTTGTTTGTTTGTGAGTCATGTTTACCTTGGCAAAATAAGTGTTTGTTTTTTTGGCTGCCCCTTTTGTCAAGATGCACTTTCTCCCATACGAAAGGTTTGGTTTATGCAAAACGTGCTTTTGGGGGTGCATGCAAGAATGTAAGATGTGTTTTTGTCATCGTGATACTGAGGTTTATGAAAACAAAACCACCCCGAACCTTTGATCTCAAGTGCATGTCCAGGTTTGATCCATTGATCGATGTATGTATTATGTTGTGTTTGTCATTTATCGTCCACCACTTTGTTGTCCCTGTTAATACTTGCCTGTTTGATGTGTATTTGGTTTGTCTCTCCGTTAGTTTGCCTACCCTGAAATATCTGAAACATTTGATGTGTTTTCGTGTTTGCTTCGTGTTTGCTTGTTTATTTTCATCCATCTCCATGTCTAATGTGTATGTCTATCCTTTTCTCCGTCCATTGTTGATCCACTTGTGCTGAAATTGGCTTGACAATGCAAAGTGGTAGGCATGACCTCATCTCAGCTTTTGGGCAGTCAAACTTGCACATTGAACATCGTTGTCGAATTCATATGTGTTGGGTCCGTCCTGTTACCTGTAACAGTCAGGCAGTAGACAATTATAACTATTTTGAAGAAAGGCCTTTAGCAACCATCATCATCCACTGCTTCTGGCAATAGGATAGACCCAATGTATGTTTATCTTTGCTTGTTTATTAGGCTACTGCGGCTACTGCTTGGTTGTATTCAATTTATATATATATATACATCCGACAAACGGTATTTTTACAACGTCCTGTTTTTGTGTTCTTTTTCTCTGAGAAACGACCAGAAGTGAACTATGACTAATATATGCAAAAATAATTAGCTATAACGTGGTTGAGTGGTCGATCTATGGTATCTACGTCTATGTACTTACGTACATGCTGCACAAGGTTGAGCCTTTATGCATTAGAGGTCATGCGGACCAGGAATATCCGAAACTCGGGCTTTTTCAATCGAACTCCAGCGGGCCACAAGATGCAACTGTTTGGGCTCGGTGTTCCAGTGTTCCATGACGATACACTTGGTGTGGGAACAGCAGACATATACTGTTCCATCAAACTAACTTGCTTCCAAGGTAGATTATGCCTTCAATGCGCTGGTTCCTCGTTCATCACCAGACGCGGACCCACGACAGGCCAGATTTGGATTTCATAGATGATTTGTGCTTGGTTTTCTTGATAAATGCATGCTACTGCAGGGAAAGGTTGGATTGTGCAGGCCGTGATGCACACTTGGATCAAGGCCCGCCTCTTCACGTATAACAAGGCCTGCACAAGTTTGCGACAGGATAGCACATTTGAAACCAGAGTAGGGGAGACTGGGAGACTTTGTATTCCTCACTTCTTTCAGGGGGATTGGCGGGAAGAAATCAAAATACATGTTCGTTTGGATCCTATCAATGGTCTCAATGTATTTCCAGCATTGGCCTGAGTTGTTGCAAGTTTTCTCAGCTGATTGATAATGTTCCCCAGAAAACGAACGAGCACTGAAGATTATGCATGCGGCATCATCAAATTGATCCATCCGCTAAACCAACTACTGTATACATTCCCCTTCAAGTGCACGTTGTGTTCAGGCATTCCCCTTCAAGTTCAGCCCATACTGATGGCGACTTTGGGCAAATTGACTCGGTGCTGAAGAGGTGAAAGTATGCGCCTTGAGGAAAGCCATTTTGACAAAATTACACGAGAGCAAAATTCCTATTACGGTGTCGCTTCTTTTCAAGGCCACGAGGCACAACTCGTTTGAGCAAACGTAGAAAAGGAGCAAGACGCATTCAGAGCACGCTTGTGGAGCAAGACTTTGAGCTGTGCATTCAGAGCTGTAGCTAGGTGGAGTTTGGATTTCTGGGGTTCGAGGTTTCTGGCAGGTAGCATGCTGCAGCAGCTTTGTTTCCACCTCAGTATGAACGAAACAAGTTGCTACCCCAGCGGGATGATGCCGTGAACTTGTTGGATCCTGCAGCAACTTGCTTTCAGAAAGCCTCGGTGCCACTTGAAGAAATACACCACCGGAGGTATGTGAACGCTTTCCCAAAGAATTCAGATGTTGAGGTCCCGAGCAGACTGAGGCCCAGCTTGCACCAAAGTTAGTCTGTTTTTCGATTGCGCTTGTTGTTTGTGCCTGCCATGTCCAGGTAAGTTCTATCAACTGCCCTCAGGAGACAAGCTGCCTGAAATTGGGACGTGGGACTTGTTGTCTTACAATGTCTTGCAACAATTAACCCAGCTCACAACCCCAATAGCAAAGCGTCCTCCAAGATCTGGCGATGTTTTTGGGTGTGCGTTGTTCGGTTTTTCACATATTATATCGAGCACAACTTTCAAAAAACAAACATGTTGAAATGCAATCCCATAGTTCACACACAGAGGTACGAAAAAAAAACCGATATCCAACCAAATTACGTTACTTCGAGTGATCCCCACCATGACATGTCAATCATTTGATTTCATGCCACCGGGAAGAGCATGTTGCCATGGTCGTGAGTTTTGTGGTGCTCGATTTTGCTCGTGGGGGTTTGGGATTGCTATTTTGGTGTTAGGGAGTTCGCGTCGTGGTGTCACAAGGGTCTCCAGATGGCATCCAAAAGTGCTACCCTGTGACCACCTGCCACGCAAAATGCCAGAGAGACACACACACTCAGAGGTAATTATATATATATGAGAGATGACACGCCTCAGTGGCAGCCTACCCATGTCCTTTTCTTTGTACGTCCTGAGCCCCACACTATGGTAGGTCGATCGAAAATGCTAATCCTGCTATCTAGACGTGTCTTCACCTGAGTGTGTTCTTTTCACACACCCCTTCTTAGAAGTGTGAAGTACACGTTTCTGTTCCCTCTCCTGAGCGTTCAACTGTAAAGAAACATTCTCAGCAACGCAAATGAAACGACCGTACCTCAACACAAAATAAGAAAGATCAGGGTTGGCGCTGATCTTAGTGAGCGAGTCAACCACCATCTGACGGGTGTCTACCCATCGCAATGACACATTCTGAGATCGCAGGTGTGAACGAACCACTAACATGTCAATTGCCATTCTCTTGTCTTTCACAACCACTCCATCACCAAGACAGTGATCGTAGATCGGCTTGTTGTCTGTCACCGTCATCATGGGAATTTTCTTTCGCAGTACCATGTCATCGGACAACCGACAACTTGCGTTCAGAGCTTCTGCAAACAGAGATCGAATCCAATCTCCTTCAGCCAATGCCCGTGAGACACCCATGAGTTCGGCTCCCAGTGTTGACCGGGTACGACAGGCAAGTTTCCACGACTTCCATCGCAGCGGAGACACATTTGCCCATTTGTCTTCCTGCAAGTCTTGATGAGCAAGCATGATCATGGAGTAAGGAACTGTTGAAGTAGTTGGGTTGTGTGTTGGACATGAGTCGTGATCGTGTTTTTGTGTTTGGTCCTTGAGTTGAGATGGTTCAAACGGAAAAGGGTCATAATGGTATACGGTATACCTTGTTTTGACTTCAGTAGGGATTGCATGGTCAGTGAGCAGAGCAGAGTCGGGATGAAGACGCCGAAAGAGTTCGACATTGACAACCTCGAGAAGGCAACTCGGCTCGACGTCAAAGCAGGAGAACAGCGACACCTCATCCCGCATCATGGCATCAGGCAGTGCAGCCCTCTCCCCAGAGATCATGAAGATGATGGCAAACACCGAGAAGATCGACAACACTCACCAGAATGCAGAATGGATGACCAGCGACAAGGCGCTGGATCTGATCTTCGACACGGAGGAAAACAACCGTGTGCTGTCTGTGGATGGCTTTCAACTCATGAAGAAGGGAAAGCGTGGCAAGGGCAAGAACCAGATGGACATGAAGACCGTCTACGAGGCGGACAAGGGGTACTGCACGTGGGTGCGTCAACACATCGCACTCACGAGCAGCACGGAGTTGCAACGTCTCAAGGTCTGCATTGCCCTTCGCGACCAGGCCAAGAGGGACCGCTTGAAGCTGCAGCAAATGGGGAGAACTCAGAGGCCAAGGCCAAAGCGCAGGCCAGGCTGGGGTATTCCAAGACCCGTGCTCGAGAGGAGAGCGACGGCAACATGGAGTGGCAATACGTGGAGATGCCGGGACGTGGACCGGAGTTGGTCGTGACGCAGACGATCGACGGCTTGCCAGTGAAGGTGATCAATATTGATCAATCCACTCCAGGACTATTTGACCGAGGAGGAGATGACAATCCTTGGCTCGATGCGCGACTTGCTGGACGGGATCCTGCAGGACAAGTAGACGTATAGAGCCGCCAAGTGAGAGAGGCAATCGTGCGATGTCCAAAAAGAGTCGGGTTAGGTTGAAGCGAGATGTTGACAGCTGGTGTACCCGTAGCTGACTGTTGCGCTGTTGAAGACGCGGACACGCCACATGATATTTTCTATGTCCAAGTGGACTCACCAAGTGATTTTGCTGATGTGTTTTCGCCCCCCAGAGTCTGTCCAGTGGCTGAGCGGAAGGGACTTAAAGGTCTCCGCTCATATGACTTGACTTCTGGATGGAATTTCCTCGACGCGGAGTGTCGAAGGAAGTGCATTGCTGACATTGAACAATATAAGCCAGAGGTTGTATTGCGCTGTCCACCTTGTGGACCGTTCTCAGCCTTGCAGATGTGTAGCTGGGAGAAACAAGACCCTCGAGCAAGAGAGCAGAAAATGATAGAGGCGTGGGTTCTGTCGGGCTTTGCGATGCAAGTATGTGAACTTCAACACAGGGCCGGTAGGAAGTTCCTGTTTGAGCAGCCTGCCAATGCCACCAGCTGGAGTGAAGAGTGCGTCATGAATTTGAGACAGAAAGAAGGGGTGCATGAAGTGCACCTTGATCAATGTGAATACAGGTTGAAAGATCCTCAAAACCACAAGTTTTTTCGCAAACGAACGCGTCTTCTGACTAACTGTGAAGAGATGAAAGGCTTGCAGGTCATGTGTACAATCATGAACACCAAAGAGTTGAGGGTCAAACTCGTGTTGGTGGGAAATGGGTGAACAGGTCCCGGTGTGCTCAAGTGTACCCCAAAGCCTTTTTGGAAAAGGCCACCTCTTGCTACCTTAAGTACAAGATAGTACAAGAACCACAAGGCTAGTGAGGTGTTGGCCGCTGAAGCGTTGCAGGAGGACTGGACAGACCTTGAACGGAGCGTGCGGCGTTGTCATGTGAACCTTGGTCACCCCTCCAAAGAACGTTTTCTTCGCATGTTGAAGACGGCTGGAGCTAGCAATCGTGCCTTGGAAATCGGGAAGAAACTGAAGTGTAGCATCTGTGAAACCCACAAACCATACCCGAGTCATGCTGTTTCCAAACATAAGAAAGCCCAAGGGTTCAATCAACAATTGAACATGGACACGTTTGAGGTCACCATTTTTGAGGGAAAGAAGCTGAACATGTTGAACATGTTTTGCGAAGGGACTGGACTTCAGGTTTGCGTGCCTCTGGAAGGAAGTGAGGTCGGGATACTGGAAATACTGGAAACGGTGGGCTGGGAACCCTATCAAAGTGTTCACTGATGGGGGAACGGAGTTTGATGGGGTGGTTCAGCAAGGGTTCGAACACGACGGGGTGTACGTGGAAAAGTCCGCGGCGTATAGTCAGTCAAAGAGCTCAGGGAAACTGTTCACTGTTCCAAAGGAACGGTTCATCGACAGCCGGTTCGTCAAGACGCGCCGTAGCAGCCCAGACCAGCCAGGGGAGACTGAAATAAATTGTAGGTGGGTTTTGAAGGGATTTCAAGACCCCGACATTTGGGAACTTCATAGGCAATCCCCCACTTTGTCTGCGGACTCCCTTGTTGTGATTCTTCAGATTTTGGCCTCACGAAAGTGGGAACTGATGATCATGGATGTGGAGGGGGCTTTTCTTCAAGGCGAACCGTTAGAACGACAGCAGGGTAAATTGTATGCCAAGATGCCCCCTGAAGGAATCCCGGGTTACCCCAACGACGCGGTCATTGAATTGTGTAAGTGTGTGTATGGGCTCACGGACGCCCCCCGGAAATGGTGGGAAAGTATTACTGGTACTTTAGTTTCCCTGGGGATGAAGCAGAGCGAATTGGACCCGTGCACTTTTTTGGGGTTTGATGGGAGTGACGACAATGTCCTGAGCGGGGTGATTGCGTTGCATGTGGACGATGCGGTAACGGGAAGAACTAGGGAGTTTTGTGCTCAGGTTCTCGAGCCTTTGAGGACTAAGTATCCTTTCAAACACTGGAAACGATGCAATGGCAAATTTTTAGGTAGGTGGCTTGAGCAGCTTGATGACTGTTCAATTGTTGCCAGTCAGCTTGAGTATGCTGCAAGGTTGAGACGATTTTCATTTCTAAAGAACAACGTAAACAGAAAGAAGATGTCCTAACAGCGACTGAGTTGCATCAGTTTCGTGGAGTGATTGGTGCCGCAAATTGGCTCGCTGGAAGCGCTCGGCCAAACATTGCTGCATGGACTTCGCTCTTGCAGCAGCGAACCAGCAGAGCTACAGTGACAGTGGCCGACCTCATAGAAGCGAATAGACTGGTGGGACGCATCCGAGACAAGAAACAGACCAGAATCACCATCAAGAGCAGTGACGCTAGCTGGGCTAATTGTGATGACCTCAACAGCCAGGCCGGCTAAGGAGAAGGGGAGTACTCCTACCTTGCGTCTCCAAGATCGACGCCCTGATGAAAAAACGTCTCCCTCCTACGCAAGCAGGAATAATAGCAGACTCCTGAGAAAGGCAAGTAAGGTTTCCGAGTTGCCAAATCTAAATTCGGACATCTCCTTGCGCCTCAGAACCTTAAGACCTTGCTTCCTCAGGGTTTGCTCGACATGCCGCGTCAGGCAGCGCAAAAATCTAAGGTGCTCTCTGGCTGATTGTCTGGTTCTACTTGCGCACTATCATGGACAAAAACATCGGTGAGGAAAATTTCATTGCTCGGCTCAGGTGTGGGGCTCCCAGCAATAGGGCCACTGTCTACTTGGTCATCTCTGTGGGACACTTTGAACAAGTCCCACACGTCCTCAGCCAGCATGACATCTTGCCCAATGACCTCAGTCAGGTGAGCTTCATTGCCACCCTTGGTCGATGGACCCGTCGAGGAAGCTGCCTTGCCCTTGAGCATCGGACACTCCCGCTTCCAGTGTCCTTTTGCATGACAGTTGTGGCAAGTTGTTCGCTGCTTGAGCCAAGTCTTCCACGAACTGTGCCATTCAGCTTCCATTGGCTCGTCTCTCCACCGCGACCTCCACCATAGCCTCCAAAGCCACGGTTGGTCTTCTGATCTCTGAGCTTCCGACGGACCTCCGCATAGCTCTCGAAGGACTCGAGAACTTCTTCGTCGTCGAGGCCACCCTTCTCTTATCTTCTCTTGGAATTCGGCTGCAAAGTGTTCAGCCGCTTCAGCCAGCTCTTGGTCTTCAGACACGAAAGTCACGATCGGGAGCGGGCGGTTGAGGTCCGGCAGCGCCCACTGCGATCTGGCACTTGCAGTGGAGGTCCAGTAGTGCCCACTGGGGTCCGGCACTGGGTACTGCGGTCTGGCCCTTGCAGTTGAGGTCCGCAACTGCCCACTGCGATCTGCCACTTGCAGTTGGGGGAGAGGAGCTCTGATAAAATCTAACAAGCCTCGCCTGGCAGCTGGGGAAATAGATGTACCGAGGCAACACCAGGCCATGACCGAGACACCGCCCAAACATGAGCGAGACACCGCCCAAATATGAGCGAGACGCCACCAAACATGAGCGACGCACCACCAACACGACCGAGACAACGCCCAAACATGAACGAGACACCGCCAAAACATGACCGAGACACCACCTAAACATAGGACTGAGACACCAGCGAAACATGACTGAGACACCACAAACATAACCGAGACCGAGACACCACCAAAAATTGGGCAAGACACCACCTCAACATGACCAAGGCACCAGTGAAACATGACCGAGACACCACCGCCCAGGCCGGGGGTTGTGGATCCGACGGCGCCTGGTCGCCTGAAAAATGTACAACCCCAAGTTATCGCTATTGGCTATTGGATGCTATTGGGAAAAAACTGTTTGCGCGCAAATCAGTGAGAGGAGCTTGCTGCCTCATTGGAACTGCCAGCACTTTGGGCTGCGACTGCGGTTGTTCTGTAATTTGTTGTTTGGATCTAGATACATTTGACGCGTTTTGTTTCCAGTTGTCCTCCAGGGCAACAATAGTGCCGTCATCGTGTGGATTGCAAAGGCAAGTGGCAGTTTTTCACTTGTTTTGTCTAAACCACATTTGCTAGGATGGCCTTGAGTTGGTTTTGCCGGCTGGTTTGGGTGTTTTTATCGTTTACCCGGCTACCCTGAATGTCTCGTCGAGCCAGGAGTGGAGGTGGCTAAGCGCGAGTGAGGTTGCCTTTGACAATGTGACAGATCATAATCAAGACAGACATGTTTCAAGCTGCTTGCAGCAGTAGCCCACAGTTGGCAGGGAAAGCATGCGTGCATGCCGGTTGCATCTACCTCTGAAAGTGCCGAACCTGGCTTTTCAACGGGGACACTCTAATTCCAATTGAATTGTATGTAGCGACACTTTCTCAGGGGTTTCAATTCAGCTGTTGTTTAAACCGCAAGAACAATCTGAGGTGCGGCCACATCCTCGGTTTGTCACTTAGATGTCACGACGCAACGCACCAGACTAGCTTTTCTAGATGCTTTGTTTTACCTTCAGATCACATGCAATATTTCGATACCACTCACACTCAGTCATTTGGCTTGGAAGGCGCTTGTAAGGTGCAGGTGGTTTGTCAGGATTGTCAGGTTTGTTGTTTCTTCATTGTATTCAAGCACAGTTTGTTGGATATTGTTTTTTTTGGTGTGTGCGTCATTGGAAGGCTCTTTGGGTGTTATTTTCCGAGAGAAACATCTTAGTCTTAGACAACATTCATCTTTGTATGTAAGTTGGTTGCCGCCACTGATTTGCCTGATTGGTTAGCTAGCTACCAAACTTGGCTGGGTAACAGACTTTTCAGGTGGTTGCTTGGGGCACGGTGAGACGGGCTGCTTGTTTTCTTGGCATGTTTGATGTGGCTTCCCCAAATTGGAAAGAACGCGGCTGCCGCATTTCAGCTTTAATGTCTTGATCATGACTGAGTCAACAATGGGGTGTGAAGAGAGCGGAATGCCGGCATCCTTCTCAGAAGCCTCTCTCAAGCACTCAATCCTGTCCCCTCCATGTTTTATTTTTGTCGGGACGATTTGTCTGTAAGTCATCATAATACATCAAAAGACCACCGAACTGTGTGGTTCCCAACTCTACAACTCTAGGGCCAGAGATGGTGAGAGTAATGTCCCTGCAAGATTGTGACTAGTGAGTGCGTCTATAAAGTGAATTTGTCAATCAGTTTCATTCCTGAAAATATTTGCTAACCAATATGTAACAGATATACTTGTGCTATTGAGAGTTGCCGAACTGAAAGGTGCCGAAGTTTGCGAAGCCAGGGAAAGCCCTCACCGCAGCTACTGTACCAGCTAGACGGGTGCAGTCAACCAAGCGGTTTTGGCAACCCATTTTTGGTGCAGACAGGGAGAAGAGGTCACTAATCCCCAGCACTAATATGCTTTAAAGTTTAAAGTGATAAAGTCACAATGGCGGCTTTGGCAAGGCCTGGTGCTGGAGATCTGAGCCCTTGTCAAACCCTTACGACCAAGTGTGCATTCTTTCTGATCATTTGACTTGGCTGTATGGTTTCTTCAATGCAAAAATTAGGAGGAAACCATTACCCACAGGCTGTGTGTCGGATTTCGACATGGTGGCATAACCCTGTTTACGCAGCATGGAGTGGCACAGTTCTGAGGGGACAGATTTTGCGGTCCAACAAAGGATTGTTGTGCGGAAGGCCGAAAGAAGCATTTTTTGACAAACTTGACAGACATCGTCTCAGCGAGTCTTGAGTTAGGACATGCTAGGACTTTGATGCTTCTGGGAAATGAATCCAAGGTCCTCGTGTCATTTCTGCTGGCAGCAAGTCCAGTTCTCCGCATTCGAGAATGCTGGGCACCAAATCGCAGCGGGGCACAACGCTATCCATTGCTTTTGGAAGACATTGTCGCAGTAGTGATGAATGTTCGAGGTCCAGATGAGTCTATGAAGCAGGCCAGCTGCTGTCCATGAAGCATCATGAAGCTAAATATATATGTTGCTTCACATTTTGGCTTTCCCATCCTTAGGCAGAGCACCAAAGCAAGATCAGCGAACGGTCCGAGACTTCAAGTATCGGCAATTCTGTTCTGAGCCGTGCCCTGTGCGTCAGCATGTCCAACTTCTATGGGCTTTGCTGATATATTCAAACCAATGTTTAAGTTATTACGGTATATAGTATATATTACTATCCTTTTGGAATCTTTTCACACGTGTTCCATGTCAAACATTATAGTCGGTTACATTCTTATCCTTTTGCTAGTTCAGTGTTGTTTCCTTGCTTGGATATTTTTTTGATTCGGGTAGTATAAACGATCGCAGGCTCATGATGCTCCATGAGCATGGCCTCCTGATCCTTCTTTGCTTGGATAGCTTGACTGGCTTGACAGAGGCGTAGCCACAAGATCTGCACTTGACGCACCGGCAGACCAAAGGTTTTGATAGAGCACACTCACCGCATATGCAGTTTTGTCATCGAACATGCTGCAATCGCAGATTTGAGCGAGCCACTCCAATCATGGATGGAGGGAAAGCGTGAGCAGCCGCCAGACAATCTCAAGGCTTTCCACCTTGGAGTTTACCTCGAAAGCAGATTCCACAGCTTGGGCCAGACCGTAGATCTCCAAAGCATGAACCAAATATTCAGCACCCCCAAAGACATTCGATGACACAACCGTTATGAACACTTGGGACTCTTCTATCGAGACCAGCCAAGCACTGGCAACCAATGGTCACGTTTTTGCGCACGTTTTGGGACGTGATCTCCCCAGGTGAAGAGCAAGCGTACAATTGAGCATGCAGTAGCAGCATACTGTACCGTTTGATCCGACAGTCCAGGAGAGGGACACATGTGGTTGATAACGGGCACGGCAACAGCATGCGGACGGTCTTAAGCAGCTCGGTGCACGGCAGAAGCGGTGCAGCCGATCCAGGTCAGTAAGCAGGTCAGAAAATTGATGCGTAGCGGCGTGGCACTGTTCGGTGTGAGGCATCCACCCACCAGCCTTCCACTGTACACCACAAGCATGGGCCCAAGGTCCTAGCAAAGTAGGCAAGTCACTTGTCAGACATGCCTAAAGCTCATTAACAAGCCAACGGCTGGCACTACCTTAATTGACCATTCCAATCTCGGCTGAGGTAAAAAGGATGTATATAGATTCTAGTGTCAGAATCAACAAAGCGAGAAAGTGGTTGCTGTACATAAAGCGTTCCCAGGCTGGGCAAAAACACGGTCAGTGCAACCCTACGACCCAGACATTGTCGCACACGAATGTCCACTGCAGGGCCGCGAGGTGTGAGCCACCAGACCTCGCTGTTTGGCACCACCAGGACAATGCTCACAGGTTTTGAGCCGGCTCCTGCCACTGGCTGCGGGCCCTGTTTTTCAAAGCACATTGAAGATCCAACAGCTGCAGACATGGCAAACACAAAGCCCGCCACTTCCCTGCTGTAGTGTGGACGCAACGCCTATAGCAAACGTGTAAGTCACCAACCCGTTGATGCATGTAGATCACCAACCCTTGCGTAGTGATACATAGTGAGCTCAAGCACTGCAGCTTGCAAACATGTAGGTCGCCAACCCTTTTGCGCGCTGCCGTGGTGAACTGAAGCCCTGCAGCTTGTAAACATGTAGGTCGCCAGCCCTTTGCGTGATGCCGTAGTGAACTGAAGCACTGCAGCTTGCAAACATTCACCAATTCTTGCAGCGAGGCAGTGGTATGACGAAACTGCCAACATGACACCGCAAAAGTCCCAGGCAATCCGCTCGAGCAGCGGAAGGAAACAGCTATGACAGCTGGATGCACCCAGCGTGCCGGAACTCCATTGCAAAACAAAGCGGATGACACTAATCCCAGGGATCAGCCGACTCAGCCACACTGACTGGAAAGACCTGGGCCCGTGGCTGTGCACGGCAACAGCAAAAATCACTTACACCAGCAATTGGCACAGCCACATCAAGCGGTCGGATCCACTTGGATCAAGTGCCGTCATGTATTTTGCTAAGCAGGCCTTGCTCGATGCCCCCTGGTCCATGAAACTTTAGTCAAGTCATTTGTGGATGCAACCAGTGCCTCTTTCAACTCGGAGTGAGTCGGTTTCGCTTGAGCTATCAGAGACATGGGGATACGGTTTCAATGCGGCAAAAAACCCAACACGCAAGGCCAGCACGGTCAATAGATGTCCTTGCAGCCACCCAGTGCAATTGGCATTTCCGAAGGAGCCGCCCACATTGCGCAAGTGAGATCTTCAGCAGCCCAACAATCCATTGGTCATTCAGGTTGCTGAGCAAGAAGCATTGCTTCAGATTGTCCTTGACACAGCAGTTTCGAGGACACCGCTATGTTGCGCAGAACCTTTTGATGTAGCTCTCTTGTTGCTTCCATGCAATCGGGCCATTTGCCTCCTGTGCAACCTCCCCGCAAATAAAAGACTCTCGACTCTCCAGCAAGTACAGGTTCAAGAACGAACAGATCCAACTAGGGCGCACAACAAAAACCACCAAAACCAGCATGGTTGTAGGGTTAGAAACGAGAGCCTGCCACACAAACAAAGCTTTTCTTTCTTCCCAAGCGAACGCATTGTAGAAGATGTGCATTGCAGACCTCCACACTTGCTAAATTGTTGGATGAGTGTGAACGAGCAATGCTTCCCCGATCATTGACTTGCAAGCCCTTGCAATTCGCAGGCTCCAGACGGAACTATTCAATCGGAGGATCTGTGGTTGAGATTGGACCAGGGCAACCTGACCACGTCCAAGACTTGGTCAATTGCAAAAGTATTCCCCCTTTTGTGAGCGACCGTAAAGCATCCTGGTTTTTCCTTCTAAAGCACCCACATGGGATGCCTAATTCAACACACTTGGGATGCCTGTGCGAGTTGAGATTCCAGGTTTCAGCCTGGGACGATTTCCGTCGGTTTCCCTCCAAAGTTTCAGGATCACAAATGACAACCGGGGTCGCACACTTGCAGTGCTGCGTCCTCCAACCCTCCAAGCCTTTTGGGTGGTTTATAATTCCAGGGCTTGGGTTGCAATTCCATATCCGATAATTAATCATAATTCAACAATTGGAAAACAAAGTCAACAAGACTTGTTTTATTTCCGGCAATCATTAAAAAACATGCCTAATTCAATATTTTGTAGTTGCTTGCAAGCTTTTACTGATGCAAGCTATTGGCAACACCAGCACATCCGCCTCGTTTGCTAATGGGTTCTGCGCAGGACTTGGAGTTTCAAGTCCAGTTCTCAGAGCCTGTTCCAAACCGCTTTGTTTCACAAGCACAACTCGGTGTGAGAAGATTTAGCCACCCGTTGTCGTGCTTTATTGCTCAAAGTCATGCTGGCTTGTTGGGAAGTTGTAGATCATGTGAGATGGCCGACGTGGATTTGCAAGTCACTCATGACGACACGGCAACGCAGTCTCGCAAGAAGTTCGAAATTGCACTCATGCGGCAAATCGATCATGTTACATCTCGGTGCCTCAACTCAATTATGCCAAGGACCAAGGAAAAGTATGTTGAAAATATTTGACATCATCATGACACGAGCTGTAAAAGCCAAAGAAAGAAAGGAAGGACAATAAAATGGTCTAAAGAGTCTAAAGGCATCTACAGGCCACGGTTCTCCAACTAAAGGAAGCTGAATCGGGTGAGGGAGGTTGCTGATGGTTCTTTGAAGAACCTTTCGCGCTTTTGAGTCCAGCAAGTAGGAGTTACGTTGTTTGGTTTTGAACAGCTACACTAAAGCTACGAGAGCTAGCTACTTGCTACTTCACGTACAATGTTTGAATACTTAAATATGTATATATATATGACAGTCGTTATGATTATATAGTATGATATGTACATTATGTACGTATGTGTATATATATAGTATACTTCTCTCCAATGTCTCTCCTTTGGAGAAAGTTTCTTGAGTATGCTTCCTCTGGGCCAACTGGAAGACCGTTGCTGCAAGCGTCAAGTCAAGTGACAAACAGTGAAGAAAGATCGTTTTGCTTATGTTGCTGTTATGTGTTTCTTTATGTTCTCCGATCAGTGAGCAAGGCTCTAACTTAAAGGGATTGACGGAAGGATGCTAGCAGGAAGGGAGCCTGCGGCTTCATTTGACTCAGATGAGGACACTTATGTCCAGAGGGCAGGGATTGATTGACAGATTGATTAGTTCTTCCATGGTCTTTCTTGATTCTATGGGTGGTGCATGGCATCACACGGCCTTTCTCAGTTGGTGTCGTGATTTGTTTGGTTCGTCAACAAAGGCGATGTGTCCTGTTGGTGTTGACAGGTGATGGTCGTTGCCGATCGGTTTTGTGGATGTGTTGGTGTTGCTTGTTCGAAGCTTAGAAGCTAGACGTTGAATCCTCGAACCCTTGACCTACGCCTAGGCAATTTGAGCTTGCAGAGATATTGAAGGAGCGTATATCTAAAATAGATGCCCTTCTTGAACGACAAAGTGAAGCAGCTCCACCCCCAAGCCTTCCTGCCAACATTGCAGTGCAAGATGAAGCCGACTGGTGGAGACAAAGAATATCAGAGTTATCCAAACCTCAAGAGGCTGAGGCAGAAGCACAAGAAGCACGAAGCAAGGCAGAAGCGGAGTTCGCAATGGGGCCTCGCATTGAGTTTTCTGCTCCGCTTTGTTCACCTACTGGACGTCCACAATCAAAGGCAATGCGCTTTAGCGTGTCCCACGTGGAGCGCATAGAGTGTCCAGCTGTACCTCCCAAACCTGAGGCAGGGCCTGTCAACTGTGCAAAGCAGCAGTTTCATTGGACGATATCAAGCCAAAAGCTATGACAGGGCTGTGTCAATTGCTGTTTGTTTGGCCTTCCATGCAAATTCAAGTTCCAATTGTTTGACCAGCAAGGTCTTGTTTGCAAAACTGATAGGGTACTCGGCAAGCTGTGATGAGCAACAACGTGTTGTCACATTCTTGTGTTTCAAGACTATGGTTGTTTTTTGTGTGAGTTAGGACTGATGAGGGCAAGAATTGTTTCCATACACCCACCAAGGGTTCTTTGGATAAGAAACTTGCATCAGTTCTCATTCTTCAGTGAGGAATTGGAAAAGCCAGCCAGAAGTGAAAAGACATGCACAGCGTTGGGCGTGTATGCAACACGTGCCGACACGACATCTCGTCGACTCTGTCTAGATCACGAACAGCTTCTTACAAAGCTTATACAATGCTGATTTCTTTTGACTGACTCCCCAAAGACCAGCCTCCGAATGTCTTCAAGCCTTCGAGCCTCCTGGTTTTGCCCAGTTGAGTTTGCAAAAGTTTAAGGACACCCGATCGTAGGGTTGTAAGGGTGGTCACTCTGTCGCGGTTTGAAAGTCGGTGAATCAGAATTATATAGACTTCCTTTCAATATCACACCGGAGATTGGGTCCGTGCAAAAAGACGAGATCCACGTGCAACATGTTTCAAGAGACTACTCCAAATGCTCCAAATGCTTATTTGTTGCTGCAAATGAGATCCACTTCAAACCCAATCTACGGGGCAACAAAAAAGTTATATATATATATATGTTTAAAGGCTTACGCCTAACAGCCGGGCGCCGGCCCACTTGGGCAAGGGAACACGTGCTGTGTCTCTCCCGGTCGGGTTTGTGTGTGTGTGTGCGTGTGTGTCTTGGTCGCTGTCGCCGCAGCTGTCTCTCTCGGGGTCTGTCTGTGTCTGTGTCTGGGTAGTCGGTGTGTCGGGGTTTGTCTGCCTTGGAGAGAAGGAGGGAAATGGGGGGAGTCGGTAAGGGACCGACAGAGACCAAGCCCTCCATTCGTACATGGATTCTTCCATGGAGAAGACGGGGGCCGGGGTTTGTGGCACCCCGGCAGCACCCGTCCGAGGGACGGGGGCTGACTGCCCTGGCTGCATGGAGCAGCCAAAAGTCGGGAGAGCCGTCGGAGAGAGAAGAGGCGCCTGGAGTTCGACGGAGGATGCAAGGGGGCAGCGGTTGGCCGGCAACAAGAGCGTCGCTCACGCCAGCGAGCCACAGCCCCGTGTCCAACAGGAAGAACTCACTCCAGTCCGAAGGACG